GTGAGTAGTATGGTGGTGACTCGGTTGTGCAGGAATCTGTTATTTTCACCATACAGTTGATGATGTTTCTTGCTCCTTGTGCAGGTTGTCCTGTTGGAGTCGTTGAAGCTTGAATTGAAGTTGTCGGGTTTGCTTGCGTTGAAATGACTTGGGAGCTTGAAGACCGAAGTTGTCGCTGTGGTGTTGTCGATTGCTGACGATACGGGCAGAGCGTACGAGGATGCCCTGAAGTCTTGCAGATGTGGCAGAACGGAGGTACTGGCTTCACTTGTTGTTGCTGCCGGTTGTTGTTGTTGTTGTTGTAGCGTCGCTGAGTGTGAAATGCGAACTCTGGTAGTGACGTTTTCTTCTTGTGTCGTTCTTCTTGCAGGTCCATGTCCTGCTGCTCGGCATGGATTTCGGCGCAGAGTGCTGCTTCGGAGATTCTCCCGTGTGCTCGTAGTATGGCGCGAGTGGAGCGCTAGTGAGGGCCAAGACCGCCGATGACGACCGTGACGAAGGCGTCTTCTGAAATCGATCCTCCACATGGAAGAAGCTTGTCGCGCAGTTCGCGGCAGCGACTGATATATGCCATGCCTTTCTCGCCTGGTTTCATTTCGATTGTTGTCAGCTGCGCCATTAACCGGCTTTGGTTTACACCGTCTGTTGCTTAATACAGGTTCTTCAAGTGGTTGTACGCGAGCTCCGCGGAGTTACCGTAACCTCGGTAAGTCCTTATGTTCTGCTGTTGAGTCGGGGTGATGTTCCTCAGTAGTATTGTGTACGCCATCATCGATTGATAGGTGTACTGCTGCTTCTCATACTGCGTGCCGTTTGTTGGATATGGCAGGGACCCGTCGAAGAAGCCAAGGATCTGCGCTCCTTCCATCATCAGCTCGAATTCGAACGACCAGGTAAAGAAATCCTTCCCGTCAAAAGGTTTTGTCGTTTGTAGTTTTAGAACATGCGCGAATTGCGACTGAACTTGTAGTGCGTCCAGTGCTCTTTCTTGTCCCGGTGCAGGTTGTGGTTGCGGCATGAAGCTGACGGAGCCGCGCTGGGGCTCGTACGGAGCGAAGGTAGGTTGTTGATGTTGATTCCCGCGTGCGTAGGATGAGCCATCGAGACTCATGGGCGTCACGTTGTTGTTGTTATTGCTGTTGTTTGACTGCGCAGGTACTCCTTGCTGATGCTGCTCGTAGAAGGGCATGAAGGAGAAGAATTTCTCCATCATGCTTGGATCGAAGCCCGCGCCTTGGTTTACGGGTGTTTCCGTAGACCCAGCTGCTGGTCTCGTTGTTGTCCCTTCCTCTGTCTGTAGGCCAGAGGCAGGAGGTGGAGTAGGGGTAGTACCGGGAGAGCCGTTGGAGGAGCTCCTCTCCTTTCTAGCAGACATGTCTTCTTGATGTATTAAGTGTTGAAGAGAATTTTTAACTCTAACCAGCTCTCATACCATGTTGGGCTGAAACGCCCTAGGATCTTTAGTAGAGTTAAAGTCTGAGTAAATGATGTAGTAGCGGAAGCGTTTGAATAAAGTCCTTGAACCACCTTGCGCTAGTATGTGAGGGCAAAGTGAGTTGATTAAAGCAAAGAGATACAGGAACATATATATGAGTACAGAGAATATGAGGAGACATAATTGTAACTGTTTTACTGTTGCGGTTCGATACAGTGCGACTCGGGCAACTGCTCAATGTCGAGTCAGTTATGTGTCCTTGCTGTCGCGCTGCGTCAGGTCAAAGGTCGCTGACCTTTGACTTTCTCGTAACCTCCAGCGGTTACATTAACCTCAGAGGGTTGACTCGCGGTGCTTCGATTTGAGCTGCTTCGCATGTGTCTTGAGTTTCGACACGACAGAGGCGCTTAAAACTATTTGTTCCCAACAGAACATTCAATGGTTTAGATAGATGAGAACTTAAAAAGGGCCAATGGCTTTGTCATATGAGATATTCATACCGTCATCACCCGGATATACCCCCAGGCCTATGTTACACTCATGCGGTTATAATCGGACTAGTGGGCTTATAGGCGTGTGTCGATTATAACCGCACCCTTTTTTTGTCTCATCTTAGGATAAGCCCACCCCCTTGTGCCTGGGATAAGCCCACCCCACAAAACACTCTGAAATGGCCGTTTTGGCTGTAATCTCTACATTAATAACTAAACAGAACCTACACAATTTGTATCCTAGTCATTTTTAGATGCCTAGCTACGGTATCTTGGCCCTAATCCTTTTCCTAGCCGTCTAGTGGTAGCGGTCGGCGGTGGGGTCATCCAAATCCTCCGCCTCACCATCCTCCCCATCGGACTCGGGCTCCTCCACGTTGTTTCCAAAGAAGCCGTCCGCGGCCACTTCGTCATCGACGTCGACAGACACGGGTTCACCGTTCCAGCGGTGCTGCATGCACAAGTTGTCCTGGGAGCCGTCGAGGGCGTTACTGATGCCACACGTGAGAAACGCCTTTTGGATGAGAGCTGCAGGCACTGCTCGCCATGCCTTCGCGATCCACTTGAGCGTCTGCTCTGGTGGGGGCTTCCTAAGATTGCCTGCGCGCAAACAGAGCATTCATGGTTAGCAGAGCAAGTAAACCCAACGACACATGGCCAACGCGACACACACGCCCTCGCGACACGTACCTTTGGCCGTGCGGGTTTCGATGCCCTCGCTTTCGAACCACGCCTGGTACTGTTGTAGCACGGAGGCCTTGAACGCGCGGTTTACAGACACGTCGAGTGGCTGCACCTCAGACGTGCAGCCAGCAGGGATCACTGCGGGGACGATGCCGAGGTCAGAGTACTTATGCCTGACCGCATCGGTCAGGTGTCCGCGATAGGAGTCAAGGATGAGAAGCGTCCTGCGTGCCCGACGTCCGAAGGCCGGCCTGGTGTATGGACGCACCGCCTCGTCGAGCCATTTGACTACGCCGTCAGCGTCCATCCACCCTTTCGGCTGCGCGGCGACCACAACATCTGCCGAGCAACAGTGCAGACAAGAAAAAGGTCAGTTAAGCACAAGACAGGGTGCATATTAATGTTCAGACTCGCTACGACTTACCAGGTGGGAAGTCGCCCCGCGGTGGCCGCTTTCTCTTAAAGAAAACCCACGGCTTCAATTTCTCCCCCGAAGCCGTGCACGCTAGCATTACCGGCACTCTCTCCTTCTGGTATCCGGCGCTCCGAACCGGCACGGACCGCGCACCGACCTCTTTGAGTGTTGTTTCAGCAGGCATCTCAAGCCACAGGGGTGTCTGATCCGCGTTGATTATGTAGCGCGGTTCGATGTCGTAGTTGCGACGTGTGTGACGGACGAACTTCCAGAAATTTCGAATCTGAACTTCGCACTCTGCAGAAGCACACAACACAGAACAACGTTAAGGAGAGTAGGTGAATTCAGGTGCCGGTAATCGGAATCGGCAGGCGAAAACATTCAACGGAGGGTACTCACGATCAGAAAGTTTCTGCCCGACTTTCGTTTTAGCTCGAACCGAAAGGTTCCACCGCCGACGGAAGCGCTTCGTCCACCGGTTTGACCCCTTCCACACGACGTCGGGATGCAGCTCCTTCATGGATTCGTGGGACCACTGCTGAAGCCTCCCCACAGACACAGCCACGCCCTTCGCGCGTGCCGCCAGGAGCCGTGTATACACCTGCGTCTCCATGTCAGGGTACCAGGAGGATCGTCCGTGCCCGTGAAGACGTCTCCGACAACTCGCGGCAGCCTCCAGCGGTTTGCGTTGTGTGACCCATTCGGCTATCAAACGCCTGGAAATTCCGGATTCGCGCGACACTTCGCTGACGTTGTGGGTGGCTCCGAGGCGCTCAACCCACTTCAGCTTCTCGCCGGCGGTGTACGAATGCCGTTTACGTGTGGTTAACTTGCTTCTGGGGGAGGGGGGACGGGCATCTCGATTTGCACGTGAGGGATGCGGGCGTTTACGGTTAGGAGGGGGAAACGAGGGGATGGGGAGGTGTTCAGGGAGACCGTCACGTGACCAGTATTCCACGCCATCGTCGTCGCCCTCTTCAGGTTCTGGCCAGTCGTCGTCGTCTCTCCATACACGCTCCGGGTGCGGGACCTCTTGGTTTTCTGCAGAGCCTCCAGTCTCAGCAGTCTCAGAGGTGTTGTCAGCACCGGTTGGCTCGCTCGCGTGGTGGGCTGGGGCAGCATCTGGTGAGAGCAGGGTTAGTATGGGCTGACCTTGCATAAACACGGTTGGAAAAGGGGGAGAGGGAGGAGCAGGTGGCGCCGGCGGGGCTGGTGGCGCTGGCGGGGCTGGCGGCGCTGGGGGAGCAGGAGGAGCAGGAGGACATGGGCGCTGCCATGGGTCAGCGTGGCGGCCACGGCAAGCACCAGGTGTAGGAGGTCTTCTAAAAAGAAACGCCGAGGCAGGTAATCCTGCCATGGCGTAGGCTATGGGACGGGAGGCGGAGGAAGCATGAAGGCTTTGAAATAATGAAATGAGGAGGATTCTGGCTACCCCCTCAAGACCCCTGCGAGAAAGGCGGCACGGGTTCCTCATCGGTAACACCCGGGCATCGACCTGGTCCTCGCAGAGGAACCAGGTGTCAAACAGGGAGGCATGGAAGGACGGGAATCTCTTGCATTCCCGTCCTATTCGACCGCCCTTTCACAAACCCTGCCTCGTTGGCAGAGATTCCCTGAACAGGGACACCTGAACCCGCCGCACACCTCAATCCAGCACCCGCTGGCCTCAGCATTCGCCGCCTGTAAATTCGATTGGCCAGACGTGGGCCAGACTGGATGCGTTGGCACCCAATTTTGCCATATTCTCGAAGTTTCGACCACGTGACCGACTGTGCCCACCCCGCTAATGAAACCGCTAAGGCATTCTGTACATTTTCATGGCCCTTACACTAAATTTCATAAATGTCATTTATTTACCCCATGGGGTTATAAAATTTACCACATTATAAGCCCACCCACCATTTTTCCAAGTTATATTACACCCCCACCTGGGGGTATATCCGGGTGATGACGGTACAAATGGTAGTTCAGAATCCTAGCGCATTGCCTCCTCGAAGTATCGCTGGAATAATTTGACAAACCCAGCAATGAACTCTTGTGAAAACAAAGGAGACACAAAGTTAATGTAGATATGGAGCTCGCCATCCTGAAACAAGCACAAGCGACACATCAAATTAGGAACAGCAAGAAAATCCACATGAGTTAAGTGTTTGCAAGTTCATCATACATGGTACTTACACATAGAGCATCCCCAACGGATATGCTTGGGCCGACACCATGCGTTGCAAAGATCGGCCCCACAAACCCCTCCAGCTGAGGTGCCAAACCCTCGTTTCCTCCTCCAACAACCCCATCCACATGTCCTTGCCCCTCATTGGCCGGCCAGTCCATGGGGAAGGGTGACTCGGTGATGGCAGACATGAAGGAGGTGCGCAGGGAGCACTCGGGGGAAAGCGTTGGCGTTTTCATGGCCTGGGAATCAGACAAGAGAGAGAGTGGGGGTGGGTGCGGAGGGAGAAGGAAGGGCAAGGGCGACTCAGTGATGGCAATCATGAAGGAGGTGCGCAGGGAGCACTCGGGGGAAAACGTTGGGGTTTTCATGGCCAGCAGATGAGACAACAAGTCCAGGGGGGAGAGAGGGGGGGTGAAGGGGGTGTGGGGGGAACGGGATGAGAAGGAGAATGTGGAAGGGCAAATCCGTGATAGCCGAACCTCAGTGGTGCAAAGGGGGCATTCAGGTAAAAATACAAGTTGACTTTTGAGTCGACTCAAAAGTCAACTCGCTACAATGTCACACGGTGTGTTTTCTACACGGAGAGCTATCATCGCTTGGAAGTTACCTAAAAGAGTTGGAAATTATTGAGAAGGAGAATGTGGAAGGGCAAATCCGTGATAGCCGAACCTCAGTGGTGCAAAGGGGGCATTCGAGAAAAAATGCAGGTGCCGAGGGTTACCTCCGCATGAGGTGTAGTAGGCTGTGCGAGTGAGGACACACGTGTGTTACTCTCGAGCATTTTTCAAAGTAGTACACGCATTGAACAGTGTCAAAATATGAAGTGTGGACGTTTTGCCAATTAGGTGCTATAAGTGGAACCCAGTCTAGGTACCACATTGAAAAAGGAATTTAATCTCATTCTTACCGTAGAAAAGAGCAGTTCCAGCACGGGCATGTCAATAAAATGTTTCTTCTGCCCGACGGCAGTTGCCAGGTCAGCATCTACAGTGCGAGCCACGTCCCAGAGCTCCAGGTCCTGATTGGCTGGCTGTTTCAGCGGCAATCCCGAGGTGAACACCCCCATGGTGTCGGGTGGCAGGGGTGGGTCCAGTAGCGGCCTGCAGTTCATGATGCTGGGAGGGGAAAGAAGAATGAGGGGACAGGAACAAAGAGGTTGAGGGAGCTTAAAAACTGACCTCCAGGGGACTTCGGAATCAAGACCATACTAAGAGGTGGTGGAGGCAGGTAGTAAGTCGATTTTTGAGTCGACTCAAAAATCGACTTACTATACGTGGACTTCGGGATAAAGACCATTCTAAGAGGTGGTGGAGGCAGGTTATGAAGCTGGAGGAGGGGGGGGGGGGAGGGAGAAAGTGGAAGAGGAGGGGGGAGAGTGCTCAGATCGAAAACAGCCCTGCGGTGAACATCCCCATGCCCCCCAACGCACCTGGTCAAATTCCCCCCTCCCACACCTGGTCAAATCCCCCCCCACACAGCTGGTCAAATGCCCCCCCCCCCACACACCCGGTCAAATTCCCCCTTCACACCTGGTGACGTTGAACGTCTCTGTGCGGCTGCCCAGCTGCTTGGCGTCCGCCACGGCTTTGAGTGCTGCGGCACACTCAAGGCTGAAGAGGGAGCAGGAGCGCGAGGCGAGGGCAGCCAGGAGGCTTTCAGTCTCTGATGGATGGATGGATGGATGGATGGATGGATGGATGGATGGATGGATGGATGGATGGATGGATGGATGGATGGATGGATGGATGGATGGATGGATGGATGGATGGATGGATGGATGGATGGATGGATGGATGGGAGGCAGAGGAGAGGGAGGAAAACGTAAGGTGGAGAAGGGGGGACAAAAGAATCTGCCACAGATTTGAGTGCCGCCGCACACTCAAGGCTGAAGAGGGAGCAGGAGCGAGAGGCCAGGGCAGAGAGGAGGCTTTCAGCCTCTGTAGGGTTGGGTGCATGGGCGGCAGCAGAAAGGAGGGGAAAATGGGATTGGAAATTCTTGAGTGCCACTGCACACTCGAGAGGTGATTTTTGAGTCGAATATTGAATCGAATACAAAATGAGGCTGAAGAGAGAGCAGGTGCGAGAGGCAAGGGGGATGAGCACTGACCTTGCTTGTCCAAGTGCAAGCAGGAAAAGGAGGAGCGGAATTCGTTCTTCCTGCTGTCTGCCCGGCCAGGCTGGAAGGGCGCGTGGGAGGAGGCCATGGAGTTGCGCACATAGGCCAGAGCGTCGTAGGCCTGGGAGAGGCCCTTGGAGAGGTAGGAGCGGGTTTCAGTGGGCTTGGGGATGAGCGAGGAGAGGGGCGGCGGGAGGGGAACGGCTTCTGAATCCCTGCAAGGGAACAAGAAGACAGAGGGGGTGGGCGGGAAGGTAGTGGGGTGACACGGGAGTTCATTGAGAGAGGTGTTCGGAAGCAATTGCACACGTAGGCAGCTGCACACATAGGCCAGAGCGTCGTAGGCTTGAAAGAGGCCCTTGGAGAGGTAGGGTTCCAGCGGGCTTGGGGATGAGCGAGTAGAGGGGAGGTGGGAGAGAGACGGCTCCTGAATCCCTGCAAGGGGACGGAATGTCAGAGGGGGTGGGAGGGCAAGTGGGGGAAAAGAGATATTTATGGGGAAAGGCTAGCATAATCAAATTGTAGTAAATGCGGTTGCGGGGGCCATTGTCCATGAAAGGCCGGAGAGTGGCAAGAGATATTTTTGCTCAACTGAAAGTCGGGTTGAGGTGCTTCCAAAAGTCATAGAATGGCGGGAGCGTGGTGGGCGTGAAATTGTGAAAGCTGGAGATGTAGCTTGATGACTCGGCAACGGCTGGGACGGCTGAGTCTGGCCCATAAGTTGGCAGGTAGTGAGTGGTGCAGGGCGGGGACGAACGCCATTGCCAGCTGGCGAACAGCTGGGCGGTCCAGCAGGGAGTGAAGTGAGTGCGACGTACCTTGCGGGATTAGCGGTGACTGAAGGTTGAGAGTGGTGCAGGGCGGAAACGAGAGCTGTTGCCAGCTGGCGAACAGCTGGGCGGTCCAGCACGGCGCGATGGCAGCGCAGAGCGATACAGGTGGCGCGTGGGAGATGGTACATGTGGATCTGTGGGATTGGGGAAGATGGTACACGTGGATCTGTGGGATTGGGGAAGATGGTACACGTGTATCCAAATATTGAGTCTTGTGGACGAGACGGATAAGGAGACACAAGGGAAGAGAAGGATAACGCACAGAGGAGGGAAGAGAAGGATAACGCACAGAGAAGGGAAGAGAAGGATAACGCACAGAGGAGGGAAGAGAAGGATAACGCACAGAGGAGGGAAGAGAAGGATAACGCACAGAGGAGGGAAGAGAAGGATAACGCACAGAGGAGGGAAGAGAAGGATAACGCACAGAGGAGGGAAGAGAAGGATAACGCACAGAGGAGGGAAGAGAAGGATAACGCACAGAGGAGGGAAGAGAAGGATAACGCACAGAGGAGGGAAGAGAAGGATAACGCACAGAGGAGGGAAGAGAAGGATAACGCACAGAGGAGGGAAGAGAAGGATAACGCACAGAGGAGGGAAGAGAAGGATAACGCACAGAGGAGGGAAGAGAAGGATAACGCACAGAGGAGGGAAGAGAAGGATAACGCACAGAGGAGGGAAGAGAAGGATAACGCACAGAGGAGGGAAGAGAAGGATAACGCACAGAGGAGGGAAGAGAAGGATAACGCACAGAGGAGGGAAGAGAAGGATAACGCACAGAGGAGGGAAGAGAAGGATAACGCACAGAGGAGGGAAGAGAAGGATAACGCACAGAGGAGGGAAGCCTGCGACCGGAGGAAATTAGAAATGGGGAGAGAACATGATAATTGGCTTGCTCATGAACATGGTGCTTGGCTTGCTGTGGTGGATAGGCTCAACGGTTCAACAATTCAGGCTCAGGGCAGGACAGGAGGGAGCCGAATGCAGAAACGGACTGTAGGGAGCAGGATAATAGGCAGGCGAAACGTTCACTGGAAAGCCACAACAAGAAGAAAGAAAACAACACCCAGACAAGCTTTTCCATGCAACTAAGTGTTACCCAGTGCGACTCAGCGCGACCAGTGCGACCCAGTGCGACCCAGTGCGACCCAGTGCGACCCAGTGCGACCCAGTGCGATCCAGTGCGACCCAGTGCCACCCAGTGCCACTCAGAAGGCCCTTGCTAGCTACCTGCAAGGCGTCAGCGGGTGCTTCCCCATGCGCTCCTGTGATTGGCTGATTCAACTCCATCTCCACTATTCTGTGCAGATCCTCCGCTTTGTCCGCGCCCTTGAATCTACCGGTCACCTTGATTCCACCACTACCTTCTGTTGCACTAGCTTCTAGGAATTCACCGCCCCCATTACCACCATCACCATCACTTTTCCCATCACCATCACCACCACCATCATCATCATCACCATCACCATCCCCATCCCCATCCTCTGCATCCTCAAACTCATCCTCCTCTTCCTCCTCCTCCACTCCCCTCTCGACCGCAACGTCTGCTGCAGATAACTTCTTGAATTCTGCTTCCATTGCTGACGTGGACTTCTCACCCTCACCACAAGCATCACCATACGCGTCACTCTCTTGGTCTTTCTTCGGCACGTCAGACTCTTCCCCGTTCTCGAGGCTGCTGGGGTCGTTGTCCAATGGCGCAGCAGCCTCCCACGCTGCCACATCATCAATGCTCCGGGACACTACAGTGATTGGTTTCGCGTCACGGCACAAGTGGAGTTCAAGCGGACCGCCAGTTTTACCCTGCCCGACAACTCGGGCAAGCAGGAGCGGAAATCTCGACCCAAGCTCCTTCGCTGCTTGCTGGACTTTTTCAAGCGAAAGCTGCCCGGAAAACTGTAGACCGACGACGCCAAGCCCGGTTCCCATCTCCATCGCACGACACCAAAGTTCTTCGTCAGTGGAAAGCGGGCGACATGCGACGGGTCCCTGCGACTCGCATGTCGCAGAGCCGCAGGCCGCGACCTTCGTCACGCTGCTGGTCCAGAACATTATCAGAGATTACTCGACCAAATATACAGATTGCAGCCACGTAATACAATCAGACCGTCTAACAGTGAAATTCCTACATCTACCGATGGTGTGGATTTTTTTCAAGTTACTAGAATTGAGCTGGAAGTATGTGCCTGACTGGGCTGGTGATTCATGTCATGATGCGCTAGAGGGTGCCGCATCGGCTCAGTTCAGTTGCGTACAGCACTGTACAGTGGTAAAGTCTACATACATACAGAAGATAACGCCTCAACTGAATTCATAGGATGGCTTTTTGCTGTTCCGTTCCGACCCCCGAGCATCCCAAGGTTTTTCAGAACTTCGGTTGTGTGACATAACAATGAGTGACCGGGTCACACAACGATGACAACCTTCAACCCCGCACTCGAAATTCTGGTCAGCTCGGTTATCTGAAATCTTCTTTTTCCTAGCCGGTACTTTCTAGGGAGCTATCAGGCCTCTGGCTCTTTGATTGGTTCATTCTTACCCCAACCGACGTATTCCATAGCTTTCGCATTGTCCCTCCCTTGTGATCAGCGATCGTATCCTGGTCACGACCTGAACGCCAGGCATACTCGCAAAACATAACCGACTTTTGACTCTGGGTTCATTACGCCTCAAGAAATCTCAGGATCCATATTTTGGAACCCCCTTTCTTCGTCTGATGAATTGAAGCCTTGTCGTGATACTTGGCAGCATTTCGCATAGGAAAAGCTTCTTTCTTGAATCGTACGGCGGGGAATAAGCCGGCTGCGTCTGATCAGACGGTCGAGATGTCGTTTTGGGGTGCGTCACAAAAATGAGATTGTATTGAGAGTGTGAGGACTGTTCTCTAGAGTTTGCGCGTACGTTTTTTCCTTAATATTGTGTGTTTCGTCTTAGCCCTCTTCGCCTTCTTCTGCTGCAGTTTCTGGTTCCTCTACCAATCGTTTCCTACTACCATCCCATTTTCTGGTTCTTATCTGATCAATCGACAGGTGTGGAGGTGAAGGCGGGTGAGACGGTGGTGGTGGATCCCACAGAGCATGACTTCGACTACATACACCTGTCCCAGGTACCACCTGCACTGCTCGCTCCTGTCCCAGGTACCACCTGCACTGCACGCTCCTGTCCCAGGTACCACCTGCACTGCACGCTCCTCTCCCAGGTACTGTTCTCAATTCTTGATTCGCAGTGGTGGTGGACCCCACAGAGCTTGACTTCGACTACATACCCCTCTCCCAGGTACATCTGTCCCAGGTACATCTATCCCAGGTACATCTGTTCCAGGTGCATCTGTTCCAAGTATGCCTGTCCCAGGTACCACCTGCACACCACCTGTCCTAGAAACACGTCGGCTTCTCAAAAGCAACTCGGATTTAGCAGGTAAGCCTGCACATATTTGTTGCATGTCAGTGTTTCATGCGAAAGCGCTGCACACATTTTCCTTTGGTGCAAAGCTTGTCAGGCAATTTCACAAGCGAGCCGAATGTCACTCATGAAGTGTAACACAAAGAACAGCTTTCAACCCATGTCACATGGCTTTTGGAGTTGCATTTTCTCACTCACCCCCAGCCCACGTGCAGTGCAACCCACGTGACCGTTGATTCGACTCACAAGTCTCTTTGCAGGCCACTACAAGCGAGTCGAAATTCCACTCTCGTGCAGGCTAATAGAATGGAGAACGGCGTCCATCCAGTGCTTGTGCAGCCTCATTCTCCCACCCGCTGTTCACATGCAACCCACGTCCCATCCCACTCGCCTCATGCCAGGCGAGTCTGGGCGAGGTGGCCGAGGACCACGTGCAGGTGGTGCTAAAGGTCTGACAGGTCTTATGGCTCTGATGGTGATGGCAGGGATGGCAGCGATGGTATAGCGATGATTGCGATAACAATGACAATGGTTTTTCATCCTCACTCCACCGTGCCAGGCGAGTCTGGGCGATGCAGCCAAGGACCACGAGCGGGTGGTGCTCAAGGTGCGACAGGTGGAGTCCCACAAAGCCTCTGATGACCCTCACAACTCTAATAACGCTGATATTATCAAACCCATGTGGAAATTCTTCCCCTGCTCGCATGCCATGCAACCCACGTCTCACCCACTTGACCCCAGGCGAGTCTGGGTGAGGCAGCCAAGGACCATGGGAGAGTGGTGCTCGAGGTTCGACAGGTGGAGTGGAGTTCCCTAAAGAATCTGATGACTCTTAATGATGACGCCGGCAAATGATGATATCGTTGGCCTATGTTTTCCTCCTTCCCCTGCTCGCGTTCGATCCATGGCTAACCCTCTTCACCCCAGGCGAGTCTAGGCGAGGCGGCCAAGGACCACGAGCGGGTGGTGCTCAAGGTCAGGCAGGTGGAATTTCCCGAAGACTCTGATGACTCTGATGATGATGACAACAGCGATGACAGCAATGATAGCGATGAGAATGATGATGACGGCAAGGGCAAGGCGGGGAAGGGGGCGTTGAAGTCCAAGTCGTTTGCAGTGGGGCCTGAGGTGGTGCTGGGTGTGCTGATGAAGGGGCGGGTGGATTTCGCAGCCATGGACCACATATTCGACCGGCAGTTCAGCCTGGCCCACACGGGCAGCCACAGCGTGTTCTTCTCGGGGTACAAGACCTCTGACTCTTCTGTTGCTGAGTCCCTGTATGGTGAGTGCTTGCACGGGGAGACCCCGCCCCCCATTGCCATGTGGTCATGGACCACAAATTTGACCGGCTGTTCAGCCTGGCCCACATGGGCAGCCACAGCGTGTTCTTCTCGGGGTACAAGACCTCTGATTCTGTTGCTGCTGATTCCCTGTATGGTGAGTCCCGTTTTGAGGCGCCTCAAAACTGTTCTTCTCGGGGTACAAAACCTCTGATTCTGTTGCTGCTGATTCCCTGTATGGTGAGTCCCTCGATGGTGAGTGCTAGTAAGGGGAGGCTCCGCCCCCCATTGATTCGTATGGGGCTCAGTCCCTGTATTGTGAGTGCTTGTGTGGTGTGTTCTTGTATGGGGAGAGTCCACCTCCCATGTCCATGTGGGCGTGCTGGGGAAGGGGCGGGTGGACTTTGCAGCCATGGACCACATATTCGATCGCCAGTTCAGCCTGGCTCACACAGGCAGTCACAGCGTGTTCTTCTCGGGATTTAAGACCTCTGATGCCACTGGTTTTGACTCGCTGTATGGTGAGTGCTTGTGTGGTGACGTGATTTCTTGTACAGGGAGACTCCACCCCCCAATGGCCATGTGCGCATGAGTGATTTTATGGTGAGTGGATGATTTAGGTTCCTTCACACCGAAACGGATTGAGATGCTTTTTTATTTCTGCTTATGTGCACACTTGGTGTTGTGCTGTGCAGATGATGACGAGGAAATTGAGGAGGATGAGGAAGAGGACGAGGAGGAGGACAGTGATGAGGATGATGATGAGGAAGAGGAAGACGAAGAAGACGAGGCGATGGAAGGCAGTGACGATGAGGAAGCAGCGGCAGCAGCCATGGCAGGTGAGCTGGGAAGGGACTGAGGCAGTAGCTGTGCCATATGGTTTCAATCACAGCAAGTAAGGCAAGCTTGGAGTAACAACTTTGGTTAGCTGTACCATTTCACTCCGCATGACTCTGTGTGTGGTGGGGTAAAAACTGTACATGGTCTACGTCTGCGGTTTTGTGATTGGAAGGTAAGGCATTCACTATCTCGTTACCCCCCTCGTCTTCCATCTCCAGCTGAGAAATCGTCAAAGGGGATGGCGGCGGCTGCAGCAGCTGCTGTTGAGAAGCGAGGTGAGATTCGTCTCCCTTCCTTCTCTGTTGCTATTGACACATTCTTTAGAGTCTCTTGTGAGGTTGTCAGTGCACTGCGAACCTTTTTTTCGTTTCCAGCTTCCGTCCTTCACCTTCCTCCCACACCTGTTTCTCCGTCGGCCATCGCCCATTGCCCATCGCCCATCTCCCATTGCCCATTGTGTTTTGCCATTCCCCACTGCCATCCGCTCCAAATCATGCCCGCTCGTCTTGCAGCTTTTAGACGTCCCAAACCCCTGTTACCCACTGCCCACTAACCTCAGAACATGCCCCCAAATCTTTTCTGCCCTCGTTCTGCTGCAGCACGCATCAAGTCTGGAAAGAAGGGCACTCCAGTGCCCTCCCCAGCAGGGGGAAGAGGGGCAGCAGCATTAGCAACACCAGCAGCAGCATCAAAGCAAGGAACTCCAATGGCGGCAAGAGCTGAAGGCAAAGATTCCGCACCGCGGAACGGGAAGGAAGTGACACCAAAGAAAGAGGTCAGTTCATTAAATTAAAAAAAAAAAAAAAAAAAAAAAAGGTTCAGCGAAGAGTCGACTTTTGAGGTGCCTCAAAAGTGGACCCACTCTTCTCTCAGTCTGAATCGGAGAAGAAAAGGGCGGGTGGGTGAAACAGGAGATGTTGCCTGCTTGGTATACTGTTACATGCAACTGGGGAATGAGAACCAGCTGTTCCTGTTTGCGGGCCCAACTTAGAGCACTGTGCTTTAAAAAAAAAAAAAAAAAAAACTGCCCAATAATCATATTTCATCACATTGTTGATTCACATGATAGCAGTGACTGGCTGTACACTGTGCTGCAGACTGCATGTACATGCAACTCCTGCCGCCTGCAACGCAGCAAAGTCATGGTGTTTCTGCTCGTATCCCTCCTTCACCCTCCCTCACACGCCCCTCTATCAGCCTGTGACGGGCAGCAAGCGGGCATCAGTGAGCATCGTCACTCCGCCCTACTCGAAAGGCAAGGGGGAGAAGACTGAGCGGAAGAAGCCTCGCCCCGACACCCCCGCTGCCATCAAGACAGCAGGTGGGTGCGGGAAGTGTGTTTGCGACGGGCTCCAAACGGGCAGCAGTGAGCAATGCCACTCCGCCCTCCTCGAAAGGCAAGGGGGAGAACACGGGTGAGAGGAAGTAGCCTCGTCCTGATACCCCGCTGCCGTCAAGACTACAGGTGGGTGCGGTGGGGGGAGAAGAGGTGATGGGCAGCAAACGGGCAGCCGAGAGCATCGTCAATCCGCCCTCCTCAAAAGGCAAGGCGGAGAAAACGGGTGCGAGGAAGAAGCCTCGCCCCGACACCCCCGCTGCCATCAAGACAGCAGGTAGGGTGCGGGGAAGGTGGTGGTTAGCTCATTATAGTTGTAAGCGCCCCGCGCCGTGGGTATCATCAAGACAATAAATGGAATGAGGGAACCCGGTATTGAGCGCATCACACTTTTTGCCTCCCTACGCCCTTTCAGTGCTGGTTCTGTCAAGACAGCGGGTGGGTTGAGGGAAGAAGATGATGTGGTATTGAAGTTCTGAGAGTCGTGGGCACCTCACGCCCTGACACTGTTTGAGATTCCGTAAAAGTTGCTTCTTTACACCCAAATCCACAAACACGGTCTTTTGCTGTTGCTTTTGTGTGCAGCCAAGGTGAAGCCGCAGGCAGCTGCAACAGTAACCTCTCCTCAGGCCCAGAAGGTACTTGGAAGATTCACGCTCTCTCCATTCTGCTCCAAATCCTTTCCTAACTGATGCATCAGAATGCTACGCAATCTAAATTGTCGACTCGTGTCGCTGTCACCTAATATACGGTATTACCATTCTCTACCCCATGCCTCCATAACTCCTTCCCCCTTCCCCACCCTGCATGGACTGCTTTCTGGAATGCGCAAGTCGCCTACTTCTGTTCCGATCACCTCACCATCGACTCCTAAATCGGGCTCCTTCCCATGCACAGCATGCTCAAAGTAAGACCTTTGTAACGCTTGTATCTTATCAATGTAATTTGTGCTTGCCTTGCTCTTGTGTCTTTTTTCTTTACATGCTCCAAGCGCCAAAGCATTTGACCCCTTTTCGTCCCAAACTCAATGTCACTTGTCTTGCAGGAGATTCACGTCTTCTGACTCCTTAGCAAACCATGTAAAGGCGAAGCACCACACAGGGAAACAGTGAAGCAACTCTGGTGTTATAGCTAGCTCGTCATCCTGTCTTAACGCTTGTGTTATACTCAGCAACAAAATGGTTTTACAAAGGGAACGGACTAGCACAAGCAAGTACAGCTTTCCGTCGTCTGAATTCAACACAAGCACAGTTACATTCATTTCCCCACCAGTTGTGACGGGCACGTGAAGTGCGAGTTGTTTGGTGTCCCAATTACCCTTTCGCGCAATTCTATTCGCAGTGCCCTCATTCAAACCACAACAGCGTGAGCCAGAGGGACGGACCGGGATTTTAAAGTGCTGACGTGGTTGGACGTGTTGTTGTTTGTTTGTTTGTTTTTAGGGCACATGAGTGTGCACCCTGGTACGACATGTGCACTCCTCTCCCTCCCCCCCCCCCCCCCCCCCGCCCCGTGCCTTCGCGGTGATGATATGGAGACGGCACGGCAGTTCTCCTGCGGAGCGGAGGTGACGGGAACATTGGGGTTGGGGTTGGGGGACACGCTGCCTGACATGCGCCTTGGCTTTTGTTCCCTGAAAACCTGCCCCTCACCAAGCCACCGACTGCTGCGGTTTTTCACCAACCTCAAGGCCTCATCCGTCCGTTGAAAATGACCTGGTATCATCGCAACCGTTAAAGTCCCTACTACGTCAGGCACACCCTGGAAGGAGCTTCGCGATTTCTGCCCCTGTATCGAAACCTAAACTGGTAACCAGTGTCGTCGAAACCGAATTCTCCCGTGGCGACTTGTGCCAGCATCCACAACAGGTTGACAACCTAATCCTCAACCCTAATTTGCGCCCTACCCGTCCTCTTCTCCTGCACTCAACATTCCCTCCTCTCATCCCCTTCCGCGAACTCAAATTGGCGCTACAATTGGAAAGATGAGGATCGAGGGTCAAAACTCAATCCGCCACCACAAAGTGGTCCCAAGGAGTTCTGTTAAACCTCCAGAACCAGCTTCAACCCCTACAGAACCAGCTCCAACCCGTCAACTCTGTACGCCCCGTCAACTTTGTAACAGCCCTACATTCTGCGTCTCATCAAACCCTTCCCCATCTCCCATCCCTTGCGCGCTCCCCATCATCTCCGCGCCCCAACCCTGGTCCCTTCCGCCACCCCACCCGCCCAACGTGCGCAAGTTGCCCGACCGACTGCTTCCCCCGCCTGGCACCTGTAGCGCAACTGCCTCCTCCAAGTTTCAATACCAGCCCATTCGTCCGCCATGGCCTCCCTTCTCTTTCCTTCCCTTGGCTTACTGCCGCTTGCTGCTGCCTGCTGTTGTTGCTGCTCCAGGTGCTTCACTGGTTGCTTGCAACCTCCCAACCTTTTTCACATGATTCCCAGAGAAGGTAACAGCCACGTTTCAGCTGCAGCAAGAGCAAGATAGTAACTTCAGTCAAGCCGCACAGCGTGTAACCCGCGCAGCAACAGCTAGTTCGGCTGCGCTTGAGCAAGATAGTAACTTACGCGTGTAACCTGTGTAGCAACTGCTAGCACGGCTGCGCTCGCTCGGCTACGCTCGCTACTTCCTTCAAACCGTACTCATCCATTTCGTATAAATATGGAATCATCTACAGAAGCGAATGAAGAAACAGCTGATACATGCGACTGAGATTCGCATGTACGAAAGATACAAACGGTCTTCTTTTGCCTCGCTAGGCTGTTTTTTCCTAAACAGACTTCGCCGCTTTTGACTTGGCCTACGTGCACTAGCCGTGTATTTTAGGGTTCCAGCGCCCACGGATGCATCCTCGCCGTCTACTTTCGGGTTCCATGCAGTTATTGGCTTAGATGTCATCCTAACCGTACATCTCGCCTCCACCTCAGTTCTCTCAGCAGCCGCGAATCCCGACAACCGCGTCCGGCGGGGCCATGGGTTTGCGAAGCAACTCTGGCAAGTCTGGAATCTCTTTTCTAACAGGCTGGGCAGTTTTTATAATGTGCTCACTACTATGTGCACATTTGCTGCGCGCCGATAGCGCCGAAAGCGCCGCCGATAGCGCTGACAGCTCACGCCCCAACAGCCTTGCCTCCCGGAGAGACTCGGAGCTCGTAGTAAACAGATTCAAACCTAGATTTGCACTCAGATTTGGACACATATTTAGACATCTGCTGGCGTTCTGGGATGACACGTCAGCAGCTGCGGGTACAACCGTGGAAGGGTTGGGAGGAACTGGTAAGACGGCCGAGCCGAGGAGTGGCCGTCAGTTACTCCGACTTCTGGTCGCGACGGCGCAGCCGTTGACGGCTAAGACGAGTATCGAGGCGCCGCAAGAGGCGGCCGAGCCTAGCAGTGGCCGTCATCTCCTCCGCCTTTTGGTCGCGACGCCGCAGCAGTTGACAGCTAAGGCCGTCACAAGCGCCGTTGGAACCGCTGTGAAATCCGCTGTTAAAACCGTCGTGAAAGCTTCTGCGGGGAAATTAGTGTCTAAACCTGCCGCGAAAGGAGCCGTCCCAGCTGGACCAAAGGTTGCGCCCAAAACGGCGAGCACCGCCTCTAAAGCGCAGCCGATGCATAAAAGGGGTGAGAAAAACGAACGAGGAGAAAGAAATGATCGAAGAGGCGGGGGCGGAAGAGACGGCGGAAGAGGCGGCGACGGCAAAGGTCCTCCTTGCGACCCTAACAGGAGCCCTAAGAACTGTAGAAGCTGGAAGGGCCGCGGCTGGCCGGAATGGCAGCAAGGGAGAAACAACGGGGGAGGCGACGACGACGACGACGACGACGGGCCGTACGGCGACGACGACTACGACGACGACGACGACGACTCTGCGACCCCGACGCCCACGCCGTCTCCGCCGCCGCCGCCGGCGGAGGATATGGAGAGCGAGGACCGGTGGTGGGAGGGCGGGCGCGCGCACGTGATGTGCCACGATCGGGAGTGCACGCGGAGCAAGTGGGCTGGATACGTGCCGGATGTTGCGGGGACGGGCGGCGCGGGGAGCGGCCCGTGGGTGCCTGGGATTGGGTCGGGCGGGCCGACGGAGGCCGTGCGACTGGGAATGGGCGACAGTGCGACGACGACGACGGCCATGTTCGAGTCGACGACGACGCCGCCCATCCCGCCTGACGCTGTTGCGCTGGGGTTCCCGTCAGGACAGGTGCGATGTGAGAGGGGTGCGGGGGAGGGGCGGAGGGTCAGGTGTGCTACTGGGGGAAAAACCGTGCGGGGGGGGGGGGGAAGAAAGGGACCGGGCAAGGGGGTTGAGGGGGAAATGGCGGGTGCGAGTGAATGGGGAAGGAAAATTGTCTTGCGCCGCTACCCCTGCCTGACCTTTATTCCCCCCGTCCCCTTTCTGTCCCCTCCTTACCCTTCCTCCTTCCCTTTCCGCCGTGGCACCCTACCCTCCCCGCCACCCGCCTCAGGCCATGCTGAATGCGTCTCTTGGCGTTGTGACATCCACAGCAACAGGCGCCAGCAGCAGTGCTGCAGGCGTGACTCTTGAATTTGCTCCCTCCCATCCCTCTCCTCCTTTTCATCCTTCCGCTATTTGAGGTGCCTCAAAAGTCGCCTCAAGAGGCGCCTCAAAAGCAGTGCTGCAGGCGTGACTCTCAAATTTGCTCCCTCCCCTCCCTCTCCTCCCTCTCCACTCTCTCCTCCCTCTCCTCCCCGCCACCCGCCTCAGGCCATGCTGAATGCGTCTCTGGGCGTTGTGACATCCACAGCAGCAGCCGCCGCTGGTGCAGGCGTGACGGTGACTGTGTCTTACAGCATTCTTGTCTTTCCAATTGACACCACCACCGACCCCACTGCCAGTGCCTCTGCTGGCACTGGAAGCATTGGAAGCACTACTGGTACCGGCAGCACCAGCAGTGGGGGCACCGGCAGCACCGGCAGTGGGAGCACCGGCAGTGGGGGCACCGGCAGCAGTGGTAGCACCGACAGTAGCAGCACCACCACAAGCAGCACTGGTAGCACCACCAATACTGCCAGCACCAGCAGCACAGGCACCACAGGTACCAGTACCGACACCGGCAGCACTGGCAGTAGCGGCAGCACCACAAGCAGTGGTAATGCAAATCCCAACACAGCAATTGACACCAGCAGCAGCGGCAATACTGCCTCGGGTTCAGCCTCGGGTGCTGCCTCGGGTTTAGCCTCGGGTGCTGCCTCGGGTTTAGCCTCGGGTGCTGCCTCGGGTTCAGCCTCGGGTGCTGCCTCGGGTTTAGCCTCGACTTCTGGTTCTCCTTCTGTTTCTCCCAATCCATCCTCGTCCCAGACTTTTTCCATAGCTGCGGTTACAGGCAGCAGCACCGCGGCCGGCTCATTAGGTGACAGCACAGGCTCAACAGTTGCGCTGAGAAAGCAGTTACCCCAACCCGCTACACCTGCCCGATGGTTCTTAACCGGCCCTGATGCCCGCGCTGCCGCCGCTGCTGCTGCTGCCACTGGCAGTTCGAGCGCAGCTTCTGCGTCTGCCATGTCAGCTTCCAAGTCAGCTGCCACATCAGCTTCGAAATCAGCGTCCACATCAGCAGCAACGTCAAAGTTTGCGGCAGCAGCGACAGGGACAGCAGCAGGGGGTGCGGTGAATGGCGGTGTGCCGTCTGGCACGCCGCAGTGCCAGGAGGGGCCGTATGTGAGCGCTGCCTTGATCCCTCTCGGCAAGTGCAAAGTGAAAGCCACAGCTACTTCGAAGGTTGTGAGGTACGAACTTTCCTCACCTCTTTCTCATTGTGGCTTATCGCCCTACCCCCCCCCCCCCCCCCCCCCCCCCCTTTTTTTTTTTTTTTTCCCATGCAGCCGTACCTACTCTTTATCGGTAGGTCAAGACGTGTTCGGTATATCCTTATGAAGGTCGAGACGTGTTCTTAATCCGTCGTGTTCACTTTATTTTCTTTGCTTCTTTTTTTCCTCCTTCCTTCCACGCTCCCCTTCTCTGCAACCTCCTCCCAGGATTAGCAAGGCATGGTATGCCAAGCTGTCATATGGGGAACCCGCCGCTTCCAAATCATCCTCTGTGGTCTATGTAGGCTGCCAGCGGAAATACACTTTCCAGGTGCCCAATTTTCGAGGGCAGGTGCGCCAGGGCCCGGTCACACTGCGCGTGTGCCAGGCGGGCACGGCTAAAGCTTCCACCTGTGGACCAGTTACCATGACTTCAGCAGTACCTTACTGTGGCTAGCAAATTGACCAGTTTGCTTCCAGATACTTTTTTAGTGTATCATAGTAGTTGATTGGTGGCGGTGATGCAATGTCACCCATATTTTATGTTCCGTTCATTTACATTTCAATCACTACGCAAACCTGTAAGGAAAGAAAACCAGGTTTTGTCAACGTTTCGCTGCAGTCCGTACACCCAGTGCAGCACATGGGTGCGACCAAAAGCGCGTATACTCGAATGAATTTCACATGGGTGTAGCATTGCATCTAGTGCGCAGTCACCACCCACCACGAATCTCGCAGAGCAAATGAGTTTGTCCCGTGAGCAGGGGAGTACTCACTTGAAGATCGCACGACGTTGGAACGTTCCGGGTTACGTAAATATCCAGACTTGGAAAGTTTTGAGCCTCGAATAAGCACATGAGATCGGAACTTGCTTCTCCCCCTGTAACACGTGGCTAGTGCCGAGCGGGGTCTAACAGACCCACAAAGTTCGCGGCGCCGCACTCAGGGGCACGTAACGCGACTCCAAATGTCGCCCCTCAATCCACCACTCCACTTCAGTCTCGTTCGCCTCGTTCTTCCCTTCCCTTGAATCCTTCCCTCGCCGCCATCCACCATTGCGTTGCGTGTGGCACTCGGCAAAACCTCACCTCGACCTGCGATGCGATCAAGGCTCCACCAAGTGGCACCCCTCACTGCATCCTACTCCATTCCAATCCCTTACCAAACCCTCTAAACCGTAACTAACCCATACACCACCAGCTACTCCCTCTTTCTCCCTTCGCTAAGCACCATGGTGACCTAATCACGAGTCAACCAGCTCGTCTCCTCAGCATCCTCATTCCCCGCTGCACGACAACCATCCCTCTGCCCTTTCTCCACATTCAATACTAAGGCGTGCTTGTCGTGTCAAGTTACGAGTTTCCTTCCTCTCCTTCCGTTTCAGGCCTTTAGGGCTAGCGGGTCAACAGACTAGCGGGCACGCGAGCAGCACCAATCTTTGCAAGCGCCTGTTTGTCGTTTCCAGCTGGGTCCGCGGGAGACTCTGCGGCATGGAATGGACCGCAGGGATGTTCCTGATCTCTCTTCACAACACTAGCAGAACAATCTCGACGAATGTTTTCTCGTCGTATCGCCGGCCCCGTGCATTCTTGACACTTCTGTTCCCGAGGTAGCACACTGAGCTTGCAGAGTTGACGGACCATGGTGTCCCAGGCTTGGGGAAGACGAGCGACCACAAGGCGGAATGAGATGCTACAGTCGTAGCTTGTAGAATGAATAGTCGTGGCTCGTAAATTTTTGCGTCGACTCAAAAGTCAGCTTAACTTTGAGGCGCCTAATCACCTCATTGAGATGCTGCAGTCGTAGATTGTAGAACGAACATGCGCGGCTCGTAGATTGAATTGAGCCTAGGGGCGCTTTATGTTCAATACTACGGTAGTGGCGTTGCTCACTCTTGGCGAGCAGGGATTAGCTATCATTTCCCACCACAAAGTGACTCGCTAACGCGAATAAAGTATTCAAAATAAGATGGCTCGCGATCGCCGAAGGTGGCTCTTCCGAATTCAAATGTGGGTTTTATTCTCCGTGATTGTAGCACCGCATATTGTCGCCATAGCCGCGGCCACGGCCTTCGATACTAAAACGTCGGCCGCAAAAACCGTTGCAGCCAAATTGGCGCGCGGCGGGAGACACCTTTTGCCTTGGAGCGTCAGCATCGTATTTAATCGCCAACGACGGTATGAATTAGCTGCTTATGCGGCTGGCTCATTTGCTGCGTCTGACGCTGCTTCTGCGTCTGTTGATGTCGAACCGAAGCAGTTCAGTTCGGAAGGAGGTTCGGTGCGGAGGACGCTCGCTACAATCACTACTAAGACAGCCGGTAGTTCCCTTAACGGTGGCAGCAGCGGCAGCAGCAACGGTGGTAGTACCGGCAGCAGCAACAGCAATACCAGCACTAGCAGCAATAGCAACAGCTCTGGGAATAATAGCGATTGGCTTAGGAACAATGCAGCGGGCAATTTTAGCAATAATAGCGGGGGTAATAAGACGCAGCCTGTTGGTAGCAACAGCGGGGATCCCACTACCAGCGGAGCGGTTAATAAAGGGAACAGTAACAGCAACGGCAACAGTAACAGTAACAGCTCAAGTGGCGGCGTGGACAGCATGATTGTAACGGTAACACCGACGATTCCGGAAGACGCGGTAGCCACAGGCCTGCCGGCCGGCAAGGTACGGCCGTCTTTCTTACCAGCAAGCCGTTTGTGTGCTGGCTGACTGGCCTCCTTCGCGTGCCAATGTAGTATTCGACATGGTAGTTCGCGAAAAAGGCACTCCCACGAGCTATTTTCAAACTCTGTACGAATAAACAACTAGGTTCACAGCTCATGTTTTGTCACTGTCCCCACTCTGCCCGTTCTAGTATTCCTAGGCCAGCCGTTCCAAGCTCTCTCCACCTTTGCCTTTCCCCTCCCCGCTCCGCCAACCCTCCTCCCCTCTCACCCTCTTCCTCCCCCTTCGCCTCTCCCCCCTGCCCCCGCTCCTGGCACCAGGCGGTGGTGAACGCCACGGTGGACATTCAGGAAGTGCCGTCCCCGAATGGCACCGCCATGCAGCCCGTGGTACGCGCTGCTGCCGTCCTCGTTGCCATTTCTGTTTCTCTCTCCGCTTAGGCAACGAGCGGTGACGTTTTTCAGACTGTAAAGAGGGGGCCGTTGACACAAGGGATGAAAGAACAAGAGAATACGAACAAACACAGAAACACGAGAATGCAGTAGTAAACGGCAGCACTGGGACCAGAAAGTTGTGCCATCTCACTTCACCGCACCACACCGGCTCGCATCCCTCTTCCTCCTTTCCACCTCACCCTTCGCCCCTCTTGCTTTTCGCCCCCTGGTTTCACGTTCCTCGCATTCAACCGAACCACACCGCCTCACATTCCTCTCTCTGCGTTTCGGACCCCTCTGCCTGTGCCTGCCAGGCCGTTTTCAACTACGACGCCTTCTTTCTCCAACTTCCCGACACCTCCCCCACCCCCCCTCCTCGCACCTCTCCTCCTCGCACTCCTCCCCCCTCTTCTCCCTCTCTCCCTCCTCCCTCTCCTTCCTCTCCCTCACCACCAACTAACAAATCACCATCAACCCTTCCCTCCTCTTCCTCCAACTCTCCTCCCCTTCCACCTAATTCCGGGACCCTTCTATCCGACACGTCAGGGCCCCCTAACGACCCTCCCGGTTCGGGGCAAACTTCAGGTTCGGGAGGTGGGCCTGCAGGTTCTTCAGGAGGTTCCGGAGGTTCGGGAGGTGGTTCGGCAGGCTCGGCAGGGGGACCTGGTGGTTCGGGAGGGAAGGGGCAGAGCAAGCCTCAAAAGCCCTCGTCTCCTCCCTCGTCCGCATCTCCCTCCCTCCCTTCTCCTCCTCACTCTACTCCCCCCTCCCCTCCGAGTAAGCCTCCATCCTCCAAATCCTCCTCCCCATCCTCTTCACCTTCCTCCTCTCAGTCCCCCCCCTCTCCTACAAAAAAACCGCCTTCCGCTGCATCAAAGCAGCCGTTGCCATCGCCCACCAAAGCACCCTCAGCTTCCCCTGCTGCGCACCCCAAAGGAAAACCCTCCGAACCCAAGAGCCCAACCTCCCAATTCTTCCCTTCCTCTGATTTCAGAAGTAACGGCGTTAGCAGCAGCAGCAGCAGCAGCATGAGCAGTGGCAGTGGCAGCAGCAGCACCAAGCCCAAAACCACCACCAGGTCATTTTCTCTCGCCACCACTGCCTCTGTAACCACACCAGAGGTAACCAAAACAACTGCAACCCCATTACCTGGGGAAGAAGAAGAGGATGCGGAAGCGGAGACGCAGCTGCAGCAGCAGGAGCAAAGGATACTGGAGTGGCATCGGCAGCAGCGGGAGAAGCAGAAGGAGAATCCGCAGGTGCTGGCGATGGCCATGGCGGACCAAGCTGCAGCCAAGTTCCCCTCTTACACGCCCTACTGCTCTGCTGGGCCGTATGTCACGGCTGTGCTGATACCATTGGGGAACTGCCGCGCTGTCCCACGAGGCAACAACGCCAGGATCGTCAGGTAAGGCGCTGCTTCGGTTGCCGACGCTGTTGGCTTGGTGCGGAAGCTGTTGGTTTGGTGCCGAGGCTGTCAGTAAGAATCAGGCTGTCTGGTAAGAATCGAGTTCTGCAGTCAAGCTCCCCTCCCACACGCCTATTGTTCTGCTGGGCCCTACGTCACGGCCGTGCTGATACCACTGGGGAACTTTCGCGCTGTCCCACGTGACAACAACGCTAAGATCGTCACGTTTGGGTGCCGAGGCTGGGTTGGAAGTGCAGAGTCCTTATCAATCAATACCAATCAATGCACTTCCACTCCTCCCACCCTCCCCTTTACTCCCCTACTCATTCCCTCCTCTCAACCTGCCTCTCGCTCCCTCCTCTTAACCCGCCTCTACTCCACCTCACTTTCCCCTTTTCCCACATCTCCCCCCACTTTTCCCAGGGCCGGCAATTCTCGTTTTATCCGCCTGGACCTTGGGCGACCAGTGCGGGGCTGCCAGCGCTCGTACCGCTTCCAATTGGTCAACTTCCGGGGGCGGGTGGTGCGCGGCCCTGTCACTCTCCGTGTGTGCCGCGCTGGCAAGCCCGGAGCTGCCACCTGTGGCCCCGTTACAGTCACATCCGCAGTGCCCAGCTGCTAATAAATGGGTGCTTGTAGCGGGATGGATATTACCCGTCTCCCCCCGGATATAAGCGCCACCCTAGGATAAGCGCCTGGCGCTTCTAATTGGCATATGGCGCTTATATCCCCTCCTCGATTATAAGCGCACCCCTTGAAAAAAACTTGTTTTATTATAAGCGCACGTAAACTTTAAAATTTGAAATGTGTTCAAAAAGCTGTAACGATTTTTACTTTAGCAGGCGGATATGTTGCAGATTCGGTTCCCTTCACATTCGGACCCTGCACTGGATGCGGGTCCAGTCAGCAGGACCTGTCAGGAGCTGGATGTGAGTCAGATTGGATGTGAGAATTTCACAAACGATCCCATGTAACTTCGACTCGATTGAAAAGGCAAGCACGAGACCAACAGTTTGGTGTTAAAAGATATAAAAAAATATGTATGTCATTTTATAAACGCCGGCGCTTATAAATTTACTCGATTATAAGCCCACCCCCATGAAAAAACCTGCTTTATTATTGCCCCCCATGGGGGTATATCCGGGGGGAGACGGTAATAGGTGGATCTTGATTAGACGGCCTTATATGGTTGAAAGGGGGCGGTTGAAACGACTAAAAGCATTGTGCTGAGTGGCGGGAGGTGTACGTTAGCAAATAGTCTTGGCCTAAAAATGGTTGGCGTCATAGCTATTAAGGGTATCAACCCTGTGTGTTGTGGATTTCCTAACCAATAAATGCATTCCCTTTGAGGCTAACTGGCTGGACCTCTCTCACCTGAACAAGCTAAAACCCCCAGCAGTCTGCCTCCCACCCCGCTTTGCAATTCAAGTCTCACCCACGCTGCAAGGACAGAAAGAACCCAGGCCCAGCTTCAATCTGGAGCGTTATTGATACGCGGTATAGTACGTCTCGCCAAACCACATCTTACGTTGCCACCACCTCACATCTAACCTAACTTGTGCAAGGGTCTGAAAGCTAGGGATTCGTATGGTACCGTGGATGCTGTAGCGATTGCTTTCAAGCACGCCACACTCAGTCTGGACTAAGGCTGGTCGTGCCCAGAGGCCGCCCAAGCAGAGGTCCAGCACAGATATCCACCACCCACACCTGGTTTGGCCCTTGCTCAACCCTACCCGCACCACTAGTGTGACAAAGATCCACAGCTATTGATAGATTATAAGCATTATAGACACGCAAGCATGGCAGTTACGGTATGAATCTATGCCGCAGGACCATATACGGTACCTCGAGCAGCAGCTTACTATCCTCGCCCTATGAAATATGCCAAAAGGGTACATCATGAGGGTAACAACAAAACACATCAAGGTGTAAACTTGGGTGGCATAATGACTTTGTCTACACCGTAAATTACCACTTGCGAACTTGCGTAGACTGTCCAATTGTCAAATGTTGTAGCCTGTAGTGAGGTTTGTCTTAGGGGGTACAGAAGTTAGGGTTTGTCATATGTACCCCAACCAACATCAATGCAACATCCATTTCCTCATTCTGACATGGTATCAGCTAGGTTAGGATCCTGTGGGATCCCGTTCCTCCGTTCTCCGTTCGTACCTCCCGAGCCTGATCCTACCTCTCGTTAGTACCAGTTTAGTTGTTACCGCGCCTAGTACCGAGCCTAGCATCATCTCCCCCGTCGCGTCGCGCCCGTTCCCCCCGTCGCGTCGCGCCCGTTCCCCCCGTCGCGTCGCGCCTGTTCCCCCCGTCGCGTCGCGCCCGCCTGTTCCCCCCCCTGTCCCGTCGCGTCGCCCTGCCCTGTCCCGTCGCCCTGTCCCGTCGCGTCGCCCTGTCCCGTACCGTCGCCCTGTCCCGTCGCGTCGCCCTGTCCCCTCCCGTCGCGTCGCCCTGTCCCGTCGCGTCGCCCTGTCCCGTCCCGTCGCGTCGCCCTGTCCCGTCCCGTCCCGTCCCGTCGCCCTGTCCCGTCGCGTCGCCCTACCCCGTCGCGTCGCCCTGCCCTGTCCCGTCGCCCTGCTCCGTCGCGCCGCCCTGCCCCGTCGCGTCGCCCTGTCCCGTCGCGTCGCCCTGCCCCGTCGCGTCGCTCCCGCCCTTTCTCCCGTCGCGTCGCCCTCCCTAGGCCCTAGCCCGTCGCCCTCCCTAGGCCCTGGCCCGTCGCCCTCCCTAGGCTCTGGCCCGTCGCCCTACCCTAGGCCCTGGCCCGTTGCCCTACCCTACGTTTTGGCCCGTCGCCCTAGCCCGCTCTTCCGCTGCGACTGAGTCCTCTTCCCCCCCGGTTGTTACTCGCCTGTTCGTTCGTGTTGGTTCTCACTATGGCGACTCCGCGAGTTCTTCGTTTCGACGCTGACGGTAGACCCCTTGACTTTTCCGTCTGGCTTCTTCGCGCTCGTCGTCTGTTAGAGAGTCAGGTCCAGGGGGGCGAGACCCTCTGGTCACACGCTACTGGTGACCTCCCCGAGCCCCCCGAGCCTACCGCTTTAGGCCCTGCTCCTGACGACGCTGCTACGGCTCGCTTTGCCCGTCAGCGCGCTGACCGGACGGCTTGGACGTCGCGTGACGCTGCGGCCTGCATCGCACTCAGCAGCCTCCTCCCTGAGTCTGAGGAGGTCCACTTTACTCAGGTTCGCACCGCTGCTGCGTACCTCACTGCGATTAAGGCCCGCTACTCTACTCCCGCTACTGTCTCTCTTGGCCGTCTTTTCCTCCCGTTCCTGTTTCCTGATCTTGCCTCGTTTGAGCGCTCTGCTGACTTGATCGCTCACCTCCGCTCGCTCGACGCTAGTTACCGCGCTGCTTGCACTGAGGCACAGCTTGCACTGCTTCCTCCCCCCATGGCGATTACTGTCTATTTCATCGCCACTAGCCTCCCTGACCGCCTTGCCTCCGTTCGTGACGCGCTTCTGCTGAAGCACCCTAGTGAGCTGACTATCGAGGTCCTTGAGTCTGCACTCAAGGACGTCGAGAGCAACCTTCGTTCGGTAGCTGCCGCCTCTGGTACTGTGTCCCCCCCACTCTTCCACGGGTGCACAGTCCCGCAGTTACCCACCTTGACTGCCTCTCTTGCCACTGCCGCTACTGACGCGACTGCGGCTGCTGTTACGACTGCGTCGCGGTCCCGCGGCAGGGGGGGCAAGAAAGGTGGTTCCGGTGGAGGTGGAGGCGGAGGTAGCGGAGGTAGTGGGGGTGCTGTTGCGACTGGCGGTGGTGGGAGTGCAGCGTCTGGAGAGACCCCTCGTGCAGCGGCTGGTGACTCCACTGCACCTGCTGGTGGCGGCGACCCTCGAGCTCGTCAGTCGCCTCCTGTACTGCCGGCCCCGCTAGGTGGAGCAGCGGCGTGGTACCAGGCTCAGCGTCAGCAGCACCTTCAGCAGCAGCAGCAGCCCCTTTCCTCCCAGCAGCCTCAGCAGCAGCAGCGTCAGCAGCTGGCTCCGGGGTCGGGGCTGCGTCAGCCCCAGCGCGGTGCTTCTTACCCTCCGTGCCCCTACCAGGTTCAGACAGGTCCTCGTCGGGGCCACCCTTGTGGCCGCTTTCACCGCCCTGGTCAGTGCTTTGCTCAGCTCACTGACACGGTCCGGTTGACCTACGGGGTTGGCGGTCCTGCTCCTGACTGGCTTCCTCTGGTTCAGCGCCACGGCTCCGCTCTGTGGGGCATGTCTGCTGAGCAGTTAGTTGATCTGATTAGTGCTCCTCATGCTATGTATGCTGTTGTTGACTCTAGTGTTCCTGACTCTGTTTACTCTGGTGTTGTTAGCTTAGGTGCTAGTCTTGCTCAGTTGCCTGTTGCTAGTGTAGGTACTTGTGTAGACTCTAGACCAGCGACTACCTCAGAGGACGCTTCGCTGTCGTTCACACTGGACTCTGGAGCCTCCCACTGCTTCTACCGGGACAGCACGACACTTACACCACTTCCTGCGCCTGTTTCTGTAGCGTTGGCTGATCCCACTACGGGACCAGTCACTGCACGTCACACTACCACTTTACCGTGTCCTGCTCCCTCTGGGTCTCTCACTGGGTTTCACGTCCCCTCGTTCTCCCGGAACTTGGTGGGCGTGCGACCCCTTGTGAGTCAGCACGTGGGTGTGTGGTTTGAGCCTTCTGGAGAGACTGCGGTGTGTGTTGACGGAGACTCTTACCAGCCTCTTGCTACCTTTACTGCTGAGCCGGGCTCGGGTCTCTACACTCTTCACACTGGCCCGCGTGCGCCGCAGCAGCAGCCGCAGCAGCAGCAGCAGCAGCAGCACCAGCGGCCGCACCAGCAGCCCCCCCTACTGCCACTGCTCCCGGTTCCCCCCCCCGTTCGGGTCCCCGCGTCTCACCAGGTTGCTACGTCCCCCCAGGTGTCTGTGTCGTGTCAGGTTCCTACGTCTGTTCCAGTCGCTGCGTCGTGCTCCTGCCGGTCGCTTGCCCACCCCACCGTTCTGTGGCACCACCGGATGGGGCACCCGTCCCTTCCACGTCTGCGCACTATGTCTAGTCAGCGTCTTGTCCTAGGCCTCCCACGTGTCTTGCCGTCGCTGCCGCCCTCGCCTGCGCCGCCGTGTCGTCCCTGCGTCGAGGGTAGGCTGCGCGCCACCCCTCACTCCTCCTCCCTTCGTCCGGCCACCGAGCCTTTTGAGACGCTTCACTTGGACGTCAAGGGCCCAGCCCCTCGTCTAGGCCCTGAGCGTGAGCGTTACTTTCTGGTGGTAGTTGACGACTTCTCCCGCTACACCACAGTGTTCCCTCTGGCGAAGAAGTCTGAGGTGACTTCTACGCTGATCAGGTGGTTGCTCACCAGTGAGGACACTCGTGGTCGTCGTGTCAGCTGTCTCCACTCCGACCGTGGGGGTGAGTTTCGCTCCGGCATTCTCGCTGGATTCTGTCGCGAGCAGGGCATTCGTCAGTCCTGGACGCTTCCAGAGTCCCCACAGCAGAATGGGGTTGCTGAGCGCCGCATAGGCCTGGTCATGGAGATCGCCCGCACCTCCCTGACTCACGCCTGTGCCCCCCATTTTCTGTGGCCCTACGCGGTCAGGTACGCCGCGCACTAGCTGAACCTCTGGCCACGTGTCT